GAATGTTCCTCCAAATTGCCTCATATGTCAAAACTACAGATCTCTTAGTCACGCTTTAGTAACTTGTTTTGACTTCACGGTAGCGGCACATTTAATCATACAACCAAGACCGTTTTCACCTAAAGTTGTGTGTTCTAAACTGTACGCATTGGCAATGGACGTGATAATAGCAACTGGCTACACAACCACGCCAGCTACTAGGTTTGTCTGGATGAGAGCAAAAAATTTTTTTTCGTATGGCAGAGCAAAGGTCTATCGTTCTTATAACTCTCTCTACTTTTGCTGTTGCCACGCTACTGTGCCTCGAGTGGCTAAATGGATTCTTTGTCCCTCTCCCGTGGTTGGCGTAGATGCGACAGTGGTGCGCAATATGTTTGTATTTGTTCAGACGCTCAGGGGCGATTCTTTGATGTTTTATTTATGTAGTGGATATCATCACCTATCATGCCTTGTGCGACGTTATTTTGTGCAGTTTACGGTCGATGGGGTAGGCACAAGCCTGGTACTTCCAGTTTTCTAACAGCCTGAACGAGCGACAAAGCGGTCGTCAACTTTTCGTGAATGAGTGTAGTTCATAAATCGAAGGGGGCATCGTTCATAATTCATAACTTCTGGTGTACAGCCACAATCTTGCTATGTGCAAAAGTGACCGTCGTATAATGAAACTTAAGAGAATGAGTTGCTGGCAAAACCGAATGTAAACATGCAGTAGTTTCACCCTGTCTACTGCTCTGCATCAGATATGTTCGGTTGATGGTTCAGGGCAGCAAAGAATTAAGGATAACGGTAAAATCTTTCATTTCCGAACCGTTTCCACGTCATGCACTGGATCTATCATCAGGGGACAAACACTAAACAGAGCTTCTAGGATCTTACCTATTTGCTACGGCTCAGATTCATCTGTCTTTCGATGCCACTGTTGGCACGGTATGCGAGTCAGCTGTTCACACGACGATGAGCTTCAACACATTTTTATACGCGACGCTCCTGGAAGAACGGTGGCAGTAAGAGCTTGGTTGTCGGGAAGGCGTCCAAACGAAGCGTCGCTGATAAACGAACACACAAACAGAGGCAGTAAATCTTCGCCCCCATTCATCGGATAGCCGATCGTTAGGCAAAGTGCCTGAAAGCAAAAATACGGTGATCTGAACTTCGCCTACCTTGTTTCGAATTCATGGCGATCAAATGTGTGGCGGAACGATTGAATGAGAAAGATTATTCGGTGATTTGACGTCTTGATGTCAGTGTCAGTGCACCGATCCTCCGTGAACACGACGCGCTGCGCCATCATGCGCTACGGCGAGTATTCTCTAAATTGCTGATCTGAGGCGATGCAGTGCAATGCAATGTTCCACAATTCTGTAGCTGATGAGCACATACAGCGATACAGCGAGGTACGCAGTGGAGTGAACACAAGAGGGGAAGATTGTTCACGAACTAAGCAGGTCAGAAATTGGGTTAATATAGCGGACGTCTTTGAAGATTTATCTGCGTTACGGGCACGATAATAAGAAGGTTAAGCGAGGCGAGGTGAGTCGCTGCATCAGCGGTGCTCTGATCGACATCCACGTTCCTTTACGCGTCTGTCATGACAACTACACAGGCAACTTTTCGTCTCAACATGTTGGGCAATTAATAAGCGGCAAGACAAATTCATCTAACACTAAACAGTTAACCTTGTCTTGACAGGTAATAGTTTTTTAGGCCATTCAGCTGACGGCAGTCGTCCAGACGTTGTCATTTCCGGTTTGTGATAGTTGATCTTTTCAACTGCAGGCCGCGCCGCATCTTCGTCTTCAGTTCGGCGGCGCAACTCGGTCCTTCTTCTGAGCACGTGCAGATACTCACTGTAAAGTTGCGACGAGCAGGAGGCGTCTCGATTGAGAGTCATC